TTTCCATAATAAAAAACCTTTTTAAAAAGTCAATCCCAGAAAGTAGAAAAACGCTATACTGTGCTTGCAAGGAAACTGTGATAAGGCAGATCTGAGTATTTTGTTAGTACTAGCAGTCACTTTTCTGTCTTACATATTAATATTTTTCTAGGTCATGCTTCACCCCTTCTTCCATCTTCTGCACCTACCACTGATTCTACAGACCCCATAACAAGACAGAATTCAAGACAGAGAGAGGAGGAGCTGGAATTAATAGATCAACTACGGAAAGTATGTACATTACCTTTGAATTACACTTTTTCAGCGATACCGCTATAGTCCCTAATCCTATAATCACTTCTTCATTTGACATGTGATTTTTGATAGAATCAACAAGTGCCTGTTGTGTGCTGTTTCGTGATGAATGTAAAAGAAATTTTGCTATTAAGGAGATTCTTTTCAACTGTTTACTTAGAAAGTGAGATGACATATTCTATATTCTATAAAGCTCATTTTCTGGCCCTACTCATTAAAAATTTTTTTTCTTTGCTTTCCGCCTCTTGTTACAAAGAAACCTTGTAAGAATACTAATAATTTATATGCATGTACATGTATACATATACTTACCACACTTACATATATATAGTGAATGATTGGCTTATCTTATTTTAGAATTGAAAGAGAGTCCAGTTTTTTTAATTAGAAAATTATAAATGAATTTTTGTTGTACTTTGCACCACTGTAGCCTGGCTGCCATATATATATATTGGATCTCTTTAAATTATTGATTTAGGATAGAAGGATGAAATAGATATTGTGATAGTTACTTCCTTTTTATCTTACTTTTTTTTTTTTTTTAGGCTGGTCAAGTGAAGCAGTGTATCTTACTTTCTAAATAAATATATTTTATTATAACTCCATTATGTCCTATGTGTGAATCACTCTTCAATTAATATATTATACATTTTTCTGGTCTTTTAGCATATCGAGTACCGGTTGAAAGTATCTCTGCCTTGTGATCTTGGAGCAGCTCTAACCGACGGTGTTGTTCTTTGCCATTTGGCCAATCATGTGCGACCTCGATCTGTCCCAAGCATTCATGTTCCCTCACCAGCTGTAGTAAGTTTATAGTGCTAAAAAATAAAAAACATTGGTATTTTTATAGTTTATAGTGCTAAAAAACAAAAGACATTTGTTAAGCACTGTGGCAAGCATTGTGCTGGATGTTAGAGATACAGACAGGAAGTCTAGTACCTGCCTTCCTGGTCTCACTTCTACTAGAGAAAAAATCGACATGTATACAATAACTCATAGTACTATGACAAAGGTTATAAGTGTGTAAGATGTGTGCTTTGGGATACAAAAAAGGGATCACTTAATTCCGCCTGGAGAATTCAGGGACGCCTTCCCAGAGGTGGTAAAATTTGAACTAATTCTTGTAATATAAGTGGGAATTTGCCAGCAGTACAGAGAGGGAGGAAGGCATTTCGGGCATAGTATTACTAGATTCAAAAGCTAAGGAAGTTCAGCTGGCACAGTGGCTCGCGCCTGTAATCCTCACATTCTAGGAGGCCTAGGTGGGAGGATCCCTTGAGGTCAGGAGTCGGCGACCAGGCTGAGCATGAATGAGACCCTGTCTTTACTAAAAATAGAAAAAATGAGCTGGGCGTGGTATGTACACCTATAGTCCCAGCTACTCAGTAGGCTGAGGCAGGAGGATCTCTTGAGCCCAGGCGTTGGGGGTTGCAGTGACCTATGATGACACCACTGTACTCTGGTCTGGGCGACAGCAAGACCCTGTCTCAAAAAAAAAAAAAAAAAAAAGACTGAAAAGAAATGAACCAAGTGTTGTGTTTATATTTGAGTGACGAGCTGTGGGTAATTAATTCTTTTTGCTCTTCCTCCAAATTTAAAAACTATTCCCCCCACCCCCAAATTTTTCTACTTAGCACTTGCCTTACAAAATCAAACCCAAATATCTAAAGTGGGAGGGTGACAAACTACTGCCCACAGGCCAGCACCTGTTTTTGTAAGTAAAATTTTATTGGAACACAGCCACACTTACTTGTTTGCATATTGTCGGCGGTTGCTTTCAAGCTTCCTAGCAGAATTGAGTAGTTGCAACAGTTCTTACAGCCCTCAAAACTAATATTTACTACCTGACCCCCTAGGTCAGCAAAAAGTTTGCTGACCCCCTGCTCTACAGCATTGTGAGTGTACAAAGCAACTGGCAAGAGTATTTTTAAAGCTTTGCTAGTAATATCACATTTTTCTCATTGCAGCCTAAATTAACAATGGCAAAATGCAGGCGAAATGTGGAGAATTTCCTAGAAGCTTGCAGAAAAATTGGTGTACCTCAGGTAATAAATTTATCATTTTTTATGTTATTTATAGATTTGGGTATTATTGTCCTAAAACTTCAGAAATGCAACTCTCTAAAATCTTACAGTATCAGCTCTGATTTTGTGTTATGAGAGTCAATCAAGATACTTTTAAACAGTTTTTCTTATTTCCAAGGACCATACAAAGAAATCA